AAATAAATTTACAACATTGAAAATAAATTTATTTCCACAACACTGTAAATAAAACAGCAACAAAAYAATAATAATTAATGGAAAATGACACAACATACAATCCTACACTTTATGTAATATTAAGCACAAAATTATTAGCAGAATAATATAATGAATTAATAAATAGAAACATAAGCAWTTACCTTTGAGAAGTGCAATAGAGAGCTGATCTGTGTTCAGATTGCTGACATATTTTCCCAGATATGTGTTCAGCACCCAGGCCACAAGACTCTCCAACATCCTGTACTCTCAAGAGGAATGAGAGCACTCTTCAAGGTATGGTAGGAAATAGTCTTGGCAAACAGCTTCACTCTCTTAGAGGAGACATGCTYTGCCTAACAAGCACAAGATACATTTATTAGATAGGGTGGAGTTATTAGTAGTAAATTACTGACATAGTGAAATTCTGACTTTAATAGATATTCATTTCTGATGTCACACATAGGAGAGCCAAAAGTGTTAACTTTTCAAAATTCATTCCATAATTCAAGCCCCGTACACACATGAACAACAATTTGTTAATATGCAAAGGTTTTTAAGTGACTCAGTCTTGTATTAAAAATGTAAGGTCAGTGTGTCTGTGAGTCCAGCTTCCCTCACCATCACAATGCCCTCAGAAACTGGTGGAAACTGACGGGGTGAGGTGACAGACCCAACCCTGGATCCAGCAGGACAGCCTCAGATCATCACACTTCTTCCTCCGTGTTTAACAGTTGTCACACTGAGGAACCGTTCAAATGTCCTGCATGAACTGTAGATTTCACGTTTGTATTCAGTCAACACCTTCACTGGTCCTCTGCTGTTTCATGGTCCAGCCAAGTCCTTTGTCTTATTCTGAGCTCTTAGAGATGGTTTKCTTTCTTCAACTCGACCTGTCAACCTGCAGCTCCAAGTCTTCTCTTCACAGTTAAAACAGACTTGCCTTCTACRACCACATGAAGCTGAGGGCCTGTGAGTCACCTATCACATTCTCAGAAACTTGTCATCTGATGCTGTTGTGGCTCTGCCGTACCTCTTCCCATCAGACTATTCACCACTTTCTGAGTGCATCGTGAAGGAAACTGGACTCACAGACACATTGGGCCTCATGCAAGAACATGTTCATATTCTTATCCTAAATTTCTCTTACTTTTGTTCGTATGAAGGGTTCGTAC